TTGCTGTTATATATGATTATTGCTTAATTAGAAGTGTAAAAGGAAACTCTTTTGTAACGTATCCTGGTATAAAATTAGGACTTATGGAGAGTAGGAGTAATTTTTTTGAAATGCTTTCAGTATGGTATTCTTGATTTCCTTTGGAGTATTATCATTTTCATTTGGGATTTAGAGAAATCCTCTTGTATAATAAATTAGTTTAAATACAGCGAATTGGCTAATTGTGATAAAATTTGTATTGGCAAGAAATTGTGCAATAAGCATCCTTTTGAGCATGGTATAAATAGTTCTATGTACCTTTTAATTTATAATTGTGAGCTGATTGTTGGCTTTGTAATTAGCTAGTGCTGCATTATATAAATTTGTATATTCTTTCTTATGTGCAGACATAGTTTTAAGGTTTCTAGAAAATGTAGTAAAGAATCTTGTGTCTAGGTGTTTAAACTTTAAATAAATTGCTGAAAGTATTTCAAATTGAGCCAATTTTATGCTACACCAATTGATGTATACCATCGAAGATTTGGAGTAAAGTAGCTATAGTATTATATATCCAGTTATTTAAGTTAAATGGTTGTTTTGTACTTTGTACGATTTTGCTTGCAACCTGCTATACCCATGCTGTATCATCAAGTACCTCAAAGATAGGTAGATCAAGGTTTTTGTGTATGGCTTGGCTGTAGAATAGTTTGGTTATTTCGATAAAATCCATAGTTGTAGCTGTATATATAGGTAATACAGTTGATAGTGATTGTGGTACTTGCATGTTTGTATTAGTGATGTTAATTAGTGTGAGTTTAGGCTGTTTTTTGTTACTACAGGTCTTATTAAATTGGGCAGATATACAAATATTTTGGTAAGTAGTATTATATCCAAGGATATTAACTTGGGCTGCTAGCCATTTGTTTGTTTTGTATAATCTAGAAGATGCAGTTGATGTACTGCTAGTTGTATAACCTTTAAATAAATAAGTACTAGTCTTGCTTTTGTTATTCGATACCATCTTTATGATACTAGCAGGATTGTTTTGGTTAGTGTCCTCATCTGTATCGATATCTGAAATCAAATTGTATAGGATGCATGCTATATCTTTAGGGTATTTTGTATTTGCTTATATGTCTTGATTGTTACTTCTATATCACAGTTACAAGTAACTCTAGGCAGTTTGATGTTAATATTTACAAAACTGTGTTTGGTGCTTGTAAGGTCAAATAGGATTGATTTGGTTGTATTGCTATATTTGCATATCTATTGTATAAGAAATTTAACCATATTTGGTATATTCCCAGACCAAAAGAATTCCACAGTAAAGAGAAATTTGTTTGCAAATTCTGGGATATGAAAGGTAATAATGAATGTGAGTTTGGACTAGTCTTTAATATTAATGTCTACAAATTCTTTGGTGTATTTGGTGATAACATGCTTGTTTGAGATGGTGGGTGTTGTGGTTTTAGAACTTGACTTGCCAGTAAGATAGGTTAAGGGATTTATAATAGAAAAACCGCTAGAGGAGCTGGTGTTTGCTGGGTAGTTGTTTCAGGTCCTAGGTGAGTTTGGTTGTTGTTAGTTGCTGTAGTCTTGCTGCTGGTTGCAACATCCGTTGTTGTGAAAAGGTCCATAGGACCAATTCCACAAAGAAAGAGAAAGTTTGCCAAAAGGCTGTTTCTTTTATTTTCTGTCTGTGGTGTTGGCAGGAAAGGTCTTACAACCACTAGTGTATGCTCTCTATATGCTAGTTTGGGTGCCAAACAAGTTTACTTAGGAGCCGGAGATACGTTAACTTAGTGAAGTTTGCAGTTATTTGCCTTGAAAGTTTTTTCCTCTTTAGTTCCGGTTTTGGTAAAAGTGATCTGCGGGAAGAGTTTTTTAATTAATATTTAATAAAGTTATAACCTTTTGAAGTTATTAATAAATAAAAATTTGGCCACTTATATATAAAAACATAATAAAAATTTTAAGAAATATAAAATTTTAAACTATTAGCCAATCAGAATTTAGTATTTTGTCTCGAATTTGGCCACTTGTTGGTTTAAGGATTCCTGCACTGTAGTCAAATTAAGTCGGACATTAAATAATCATAGATCAAATCATTTAATTCTCACCAGTGTGTGAAATTCAAATTTAATTTTTATGTTCTCACAAGAACTTCAATATAATAGATTTTGAGATTTTTTAGGTTCTCACATAAGTGTAACCTAAAATTTTCATGTTCTCAGAGAACACTGAGAACATTGAATTTCGCACACTAATTCTCACTGGAAGATCGGAATTCCCACTGGAAACATCATTGAATATAATCTTCTAAAATAATCATCTTATCTGGGGTCATGGAAATACGTACGTACGTACGCATGCACTGTAGTCAGTGGCATATAGTACACCGAAACGTGAAAAGAATTTTGGCAATCTTCGATCGGGAATTTATTACAAGTCACCAATTTGTATTGCTATTTATAAGTACGTACGTATATAACTGTTAATTTTGTTACGATAAGACCAATATCATACTGTTCCATACCCTATATAAAAAATTTTTTTGAAAAAGAAAACGGCCACTCAATTATAAATAAACTATAAATTTTCGAATACCAATTAATTAGTTTGTATAATATTTATTTATATATATATATTTTTTTTTGCCAAGTGTTCAAGAAATGTCCAAACTCGTGTCTAAGCTTTCCATGACAATATTATCTACACCTATTTAATTTGACACACAACATAAAGAACATCTGATATCCTTTCAAGAGATACAATTCAAATTCCAAAGTTTGTGAAAAAAGAACTCTAGAGAAATAATGTGAAATTTTTCTTAAAATAAAAAATAAGCTGCCGAATTACCCGTTACGAAAACGGGAAATTAACTTTGTAAGAATTAAGGAATCACATATATAAAAATATCTTTAAGATTTGACTTTATTAAAATAAATATTATTTGATATTAAATAATAAAACAATGCCAGAGCTTGTAGTCTCTTATTTCAAAAACTAGATTCAGGTGGAATGGGTTGTTTTGGATGTTTGGCCTACAACATAAAGTCAAAATTAAAAACAAAAATTTTATATCGATATAATACACAAATATAAAAAATATTATCTACCTCCATATGTTGAACAATAACTTTATAGTTGGCAGCTGGAACCTAATCAGTTGTAAGCGAAATAGTTAATGAGATCATTAATTATTTGAGATAAAATAATTTTTACCTTACAAACAGGGCATTTCATTTGTAGTCCTTTTGAGCGAGCTTCCAGTTGGGATTTGCCACCTGCCCTATTTTCGGCCAGTTTTTGAGCTTTTTCTCTATAAAGTAATAGTTGGAAGCCACATAAATTGTTAAATAAAATTTCGAAATATATATACTTGTGTAAAAATTCTAAAACATTTGCTCAGTAACGATGAAAATGCATTCCTACCGTGCTTGTTCCTATCCGAAATTTTCATAAGAAACAATCATATTAGCAATAACCAGATTAATTCTGCATGCATACGCTAAATAAGTTGGACTAACCTTTTGCTTTCCTCTAACCATTTTCTCAAAAAAAATAACAAACACGCTTAATGAAACTGAAGACAAATAATGGTCGCATAACGAATAACAATAGTTTGAACGATATCAAACTTCTAGATCTGTGTCACGAATTGTGGCTCTTTTCCTTTTTTTTCTTTTTTAGTAACACAATATTTAGTTGATATTCTAAAACTTTCGAAATTTTAATTGGGTTAGCATACTTTTGAGTCGAGTTTTTAAATATGCAAACCTCACGTTTTTATTCTCTATTTCTTCGTAATTTCACTAAAACATACTATAAACCAAAGTTTGGAAATTATAATATACACAAGGTATTAACATCACAAGGTATCTTCTTTATAAAATTCGTTTATTTGGAGCTATGGTAAACTTTTGATGCTTACGTTCATTTCATGTGTAGAATTTTTTTCATGCGACACGAATAACAAATGATGCAACTGGATCACCACCTCCGGCGGAGGGCTTCATGACAGAAGTTACACAATCGAAATTGATAAAAAGTACTCGAGAAGAAGCTTTAAATAATTCAGAATTGGCAGAAACTAATGTTTCGCAAGGTATTTAGGAATTCTAGACATTTTGATCTTTATTTATAACTATATAATAATCGATTTCCTCTGAATATTAGGTGACACAAAGCAGATGAATATGTTTCAATCGATCAATGATGCAATGCGTATCGCGCTAGATACTGATGAGACAGCTGGTAGAATCAGAATTCGCTTAATGACAAATTTTTATATATTCTAAATATTTTTATTCACACTTGTAGTGATTTTTGGAGAAGATGTAGCTTTTGGTGGTGTATTTCGGTGCACTTTGGGACTTTCTGAAATGTTTGGTAGGTTGAATGATGAATAATTTTATTATTACATATTGAAAATTTGACATATATTTTCTATGGTAACAGGCAGAGATCGCGTGTTTAACACACCATTATGTGAACAGGGCATTGCTGGATTTGGCATTGGCATGGCTGCAATGGGACATACAGCAATTGCAGAAATTCAATTTGCGGATTATATTTTTCCAGCATTTGATCAGGTATGATTTCTTTATGAATACTCTACATAACTATATATTTTTATTATTTTTATTTATTTTTAATTCCATTATTCCTATTTAAAAGCTTGTGAATGAAGCCGCCAAATATAGATATCGCTCAGGTGGTATATTTAACGTTGGTGGTTTAACAGTTCGTTCACCTTGTTCAGCAGTGGGACATGGTGGGCATTACCACTCTCAAACTCCAGAAGGTTATTTTGCACATACTCCTGGATTAAAGGTAAAAAATAATAATAATAAAAATACTAGTAATAATTTCATAACCATTATTCATTTTGAGCTTTCTGTTCATAAGAAACTATATACTGTTTTTATAGATTGTCATGCCTCGAAGTCCAATACAAGCCAAGGGGCTTTTATTAGCATCTATAAGGGATCGAAATCCTGTTATATTTTTTGAACCAAA